GTAATACGACATTGATATATATATATATATATATATATACATATATATGATATATATTCGGTGTAACAAGAAGAGGCGAATGAACAAATGGAGATGTACGAGATAAAAAATTATACATATATCATGGAATTTGAATTACTAGCGATATTCATCTGATGAATGTTAAATATCAAAGAGAGCAAAGATGATTGCCTCGAGAGAGTAGAAATAGTAATGCCTTTCTTGTTTATTCGCCTCTTCAAATGCACATAATGTGACGAAATACAGTTCTTGCTGTTACTCGGATATCGACCGACACTATTTACTCGCGATCATAATTATTTCTCGGCTCGGTCGGAGACTTCGTGGTTTCCGATTCGGTTAGGAAGACGAGGGGAAAGATCGTTAGTGCGAAATCTTGATCATTCAATCGTCATCGCCATCGTCATGATAAGCGAGTCACACTCGCGTCGACACCGCACGAAGCGTCTGTTCGCCGTTGTCCAACCGAAAATATCCTTTGTAATCTAATTTTTTTTTTTCGCATCGACAGTACACACGCACGTGTAAGATATTATCGCATCTCGATCGTGTAATCACAGAATATATTGCACATACAATTGCACATATTATATACATATTTACAAGTGTGTATATACATTATATATACACATATATATATGTATATATATATATATATATATATATATATACATATACATGGTCATGATCGCGATCCGTGTTGCTGTCTCATCCGCTCGATCGCAGTAAATCTAACTATTATCACTTTCACTTTATCTTTCCTCGAGCGATATTTGAATCTATTCTAAAACATATCTAACACTCAGAGAAAACATACTTTTTCCGCCCATTTTCGCCACAAATAATATTTTAAGAGTCATATTATATTATTATACAGGATGTCTCTCATTCTCTAAGCGCGCTTCCTTTAAACTGCAAATTTTTCTCAATCAATCTTAAGTCATCTTACAAAGAATTGAAAATGAAGAGCTTTATGAAAATTTAAGAATCGCAACAAAGATAATATTCCTCATGTTATGTGAAATTATATTCTTCAGTTAATTTTATTCGGATTCTAATTTAAAACTTATACGATATTGAATATTGAAGGAATGATGATATAAATTACGATATATTTATTGAGACAAAAATTTAAAATTAAGTAAAAGTTTTTTGGGCAAAGGGCATGCAGTTCGGAGAAATTACGCTTAAGGAAAGATATCTTGTGCAAATATACACAGACTGTTTATTATTGTATCATAAATTGTCTATATCAGCTTTACTACAAATACTACTTCGCTAAACATCTAAAAGGAAAGTGGGAAAGATCCCAAGGAGAAATCCCGAGACAGCCACGGAACGGTGATTTTCCGAACACCCATCGAAATTATCCCATCGAAATTTTATCCCCTCCCCCCACTCCATAAAAATTCTGATGTCCCATACACACGTATTCGTCTTCATGTGTTACCCTTGTTCTTTTTAACTGAACTTGTTGCGTAGTTCATGTTTCTTCCATTTCTCTTCACGTTGAAAAAAAAAAGGTGAACCATGCAAGAAATTCAACTAAAAAAACATACCTTGTATCTGTTATGATTAGAGTTGCCAGATTTAATACCAATATATTCGAGACATGTCTGAGGTGATGATTGAAAAATGGATGATTAAATTATTTTGTGAACTATATATATTTTTTCAGTTAGTATCTCCACATAAACTATAATCTACGGTGGTTTATGTGAGGATACTAATTAAAAATTTAACTCAAATACTTTATTAATCCATTTTTCAACCATCAAACATGTCCCAGGAATGTCGATATAAGGTAATCTGGTAATCCTGTTACAATATGCTACGCCATATTTTTTTCGTTTTCCTATTTTATTTTGCGCAAATACAAGTACGCAGGTAAACGATAGGTCTGAGCGAGAAGTAAAGCGAATGAGAATATTCACACCCCAATCTTTTTCAGAACAATTTTGCATGAGAAAGAATTCAAAAAAAAAGAGACGAAATACATCTTACTTGCCATTTTTCATGTATACTCTTGTTGCTGCGTTGCGACAAAATAAAGAAACAGAAAAGTGGAACTAGAAGTATTCCGATCTTCTTGGGATAATTGTACATAAAAAAGAAAAATATTGTTGTGAAGTATTTCAGAATACATTTCGTTGACATTGTGTTAGTGTATTAAAAGTGACAGGAGATGGGCGCTGATTTTACAAAATTGATTGCATTACGTTGCATCGTCGTATATACTTCCGCGTTGTAAATGTTTTTTAAAAAAAATCACGTTGCCTATGATAAAGTTGTTTGTATCGCGAAGAGGAATCGTAGCGGTTGCATTTCGCCCAAACTCCGATCTTCGAAAAAGTCTCGTCGATTTTCGAGAAATGATTCTATCAACGTCGTTCAATTCTCTGTAATAGCAAGTGATTGTTTATTTCTAGATTATAGCGTAATATGTAGAATAATATGTATAATGGACGTAATTTAGTTAATTATAAGTAAAGCTGTTAAATCAGGTTGGCAGAATCGGTCCGAAAATGCGAAGACGAGCTTGTACTTATAAACGTTCGGACGATCCGGTGCAGCCGCTATGCAGCCTCTAGCGATTCTGTAAAGTAACGAAATTTTATGATTGACGTCCTAAGAGAAAAGTAAACGAGTCACACGTTCGATATGACAATTCTTAATTTCGCATTTCCCCACCCATGGTCCGTTCGCACACTTCTCTCGTTCCTCGTTTTTGCGATCAATGTACCATATCCGAAGGGTGCTCTTAAAGTGAAATAGCGAAACGAAAAGTGAAAGTGAAACTTGCAATGTATTAAGACGGTGCGTACCGTTGAGCGAAGGGTAGAAAGGATGGCTTTCTTATTGGGATAAGCTGCCTCAGGGGAAGGTAATCCAGGGACTCTAATAAACTTATCCGAAAATATTTGCCTCTTAGTTATTCCATATTCTGTCGTCAGGGCTGTGTCCATGATCCTCCTTTATTCCATCCTTTGTAATTATACTTTTCATGTGAAACGACCAGATTATATTAAATTAAATTGAAATTTGCAAGCTGAAATATTTTAGAAATATTTTTAAAATACCGACTCTATTCTCACACGTTAAGATGACACATTTTCGGAAGTATTAAAATACATAGAATCGTTTCTTTATAAATGAAATCATTTCATATTTTGTGTCAATAAAACTTGTATCAACAAAAATTGAAAATTTGGTAAATATACATCCGACATTTCTCAAGAACACTAAAGTAAAAGTATCTGTCATAATAGCATTGTGCTATTTCAAATCACAACTATTATAGGAAATTGATTTATCAAGACAATAAGTGTTTTTCATTTGATGACAAATTAATGTAAGTATCGTTTTGTTTTCGTTTTTCACGGAATGCCAAGAAAGACAATGTTTGTGTCAATTTGTGTCATTAAATGGGAAGCATTCAAATACATAAAAATATATAAAAAGGTCCTTTCATGATTTCCTTAAATTCTAATTCAAAAACACAAGTAATATTATATTATAAATTAGTATAACATTATTTATTACTACATTTTCCCAAGGAAAAAACACATACATATTCACTGTACAATTAAAATTAATGAAGTTCCTCTAACGATACCATTCGTCTTTAGGCGCAATGATAAATTTCCTGCACTCCTCTGCGAATGCAACTTCTCTCTGTAATAATAAATAATAATCAGGACATCTTTGCTTACATCGAAAGTATCTAAATAAATAATAAAACGATTTCATGTACAATAATTATTCTTCTAATAGCGATCGATATTAATTTCGAACAAAATGACTCTCAAGTCAAATGGTGCTTTTCAGTAAGAAGTACAGTGTAACAAAATGATCATTTTATCTTTGTTTAACATTGGCAAACAAAGATGTAATCACTAATTGCTTTCCAATTTTACATAATTGATATTGATTTAAAATTACACGAGTATTTTATACTCAGATAATGATGTATGTCATTACTTGTTTATTTCGATGACAAAGTTATTGCATAACAACACAGGTTTTAAAGCCTCAATTTTAATGTGAGTTAACAAGACTCAATAAACTACATAGTCTTGAGTTTGTGCAGATTGCAGGTAAAAATTTAGTTGAATCTCACTTATCAGAATGAAAAAGAACATGTATTTCTAGATTATGATATCACAAATGAAAACGACTCAAGTTTTGATAAATGGAAAGCACTGTCTCACCCGTGTCTCTTAGTGAAAAGCATCCAAAATTAAATTGACTACCGTTGGAGAAATCTGAATTTAGAAATTTGAAATCACAACAATCGCAAAGGTTACCTTCACCAAATCTTTATTCGGTATTCTCGGATATGAACTAAATGGATCTTTCTTTCCCCACCACCAATCAGTGGCTATACTGGCGTTCAATTCCATTATTACAAATATTATCGTGGCACCGATGAATTTTCGATACATTTTCGAGCAAGTGTCGAAGAACCATGAAATAACCAAATTATTATGTTCGATCAAGACGTAACGAGACAGTAACCTCTTACGTCAAAATAACAGTGACGCCAACAAAGTTGTGGTTCGTTCGAACAATTCCTAGATGGCACACAGCTGGTCAATTTTATGAAATTTGTCAAAATTCATACCATGAAAAATTGTTCTCGTTTTCCGAATTATCGATTCATTCGACCGAAAATCAATTTTGCTAGCATTTTTTGTGGTTTTAATATCGAAATATCGAATCGAAGTATTGGTGGCTAACTTCACGCTTTCCACTCGTAAAAGTAACTAGTCACGCGCGCCGAATAAACTCCGCAGTTGTGCGTGTGTTTTGTCTTTTCTGCTTAATTATATTGTTATAAACACAGCATTTGAATGCGTGATGAGATAACCTAACGAATTTCCGTATGTACGTGAGTAAGTATTTCGTAGAAAGAGATTTTCTCGAACTTTTTCTTGAATTCTCGTGCGCCGTTATGATGAGAGAAGAATTATCAGCGAATTTGATAGGATGGATTGGATGCATTATTAAAGCCGTACACAAATTGACGAAAAAATATGTTTAATACAGATGAGATATAATATAAATTCATATAATATTAATTCAGATTAATACAAATCATGAAATCTTCAATACATCTTATTATACTGTTAAGTAAAGTATGTATTTTATAATTCAAAATATTTGTATAAAACTCAAAATTTAAATTTTTTATTTTTTTACATTAAAAATGAGTTAAATATATACTTGAGAGTTGAAGAAAAAGAAAGCGAAAGATATTGAATACAATAGATAATTTTTGCACTCAGCGTCTCTTTCTCTTTTTTCAGAACCAAATATGTGCCGGTAATTATGAAGTATTTTAAGTAAAAAAAAAAAAATAAATTAGAATGAAATTATATATAGGATAATACATTATGTTTCGATTTTTTACTTAGACCACTTTTATAATTGTATATCCACACATATCTATCTTATTTTAAGTTCAAAAATTTTTGAGGACTTCAAGCGCAACGCGAACAGACCTAAGGTCTGGCTAAACAAGTGTACACTTTTGGAAACTTAAAATGAGACAGATATATATACTAGATATTTGTCAAAAGCGAGAAAGAGAGTTGTAGTGCAGAAACAAAAAACATTAAGTGTACACTAGTGTACAACGGCTTTAATTGGGTTTAATATGGACTTGTGCACCCAACCGAATTCGCTATAAATCCGCGCGGCGCCGACAGGTGGCGGCAACGGTACGCGGCGCGGAACGGGAAAAGCCGGCAGGTAGTCGATCGTTGGCCGTCACCGCGCGAGGACGGCGAGGTCGTCCTTGGTTCGACAGTCGGATTATCCGGTTGCGCGCGACGCAATTGGTCGAACGGCTCTTCCACAAGCCCCGCCTACCAGGTGGCCGTTCGAAAGTGTGTAGTCGTGTTTCCTTGCGGCGAAACGACGGGCGCTGCTTCTCATCTATTCTACCGGACTTTCGGCGTTCAGTTTGTAGAAGGAAGAAACCACGGGGATGAGTCGCGTCAGTCTAGTAATATGCGACGGTTGAGAGAGATCGGAGCAGGTGGGAAATCGCGAACGCGCACGAGGGTGGTTTGCTGTTAAAAAAAAAAAACCTCATCCACGGGGTGCTAAAGCTGCGGTATCGTGTTCGGGGTGGGGGGGATCCTCAGCGATCGCGAGTATAGTGTGTCGACAGTTGTGAGAGCGAAAGAGAAGGAGAGCAAAGAGCATACAGCAAACTGTGCGGGAGAGGAGGAGGAGGAGGAGGAGGAGGAGGAGGCGGAGGCGGCGGCGGCGGCGGCGGCGGCGGCGGCGGCGACGGCGCAACACGTTTCTCGAAAGAACGTCTCGTCTCGCGTCGAGAGTTCCGGCTGAAGATATCCGTCATCATCGGGTGTCGTTGTTTCGCGGTGTTACGTTCCGCGCGCCGTACGGCGCGAATATCGTGCCGCGCGAAAATTTGTGTGTTCAACGAGGGGTGGTGAGAAAAGAGGTGAGAAGAAAAGAGAGAAAGAGAGAGGGAGAGAGACAGAGAGAGAAAAAAAGGGAGGCTGGAACACAGAAACGCGCGCGAGTGCCGTGCGATAGAGGAAGAGAGAAGAAGAGAGAAGAAGAGAGAGAGAAAAAGAGAAGAAGAGAGAGAGAGAGAGAGAGAAGGCGCGTTGTCGTCGTGCGCTGCTTCACGGCGTTGCCCGAGTAGCCAGACGAGCGGAGGACGTCAGCTGTGTGGTGTGCCGAGGG